TGATTGGAGGGAGCCTGGTAGAACCTACCCACACACTGTATATAGTGATTGGAGGGAGCCTGGTAGAACCTACCCACACACTGTATATAGTGATTGGAGGGAGCCTGGTAGAACGTACCCACACACTGTATATAGTGATTGGAGTGGAGCCTGGTAGAATGTACCCACACACTGTATATAGTGATTGGAGGGAGCCTGGTAGAACCTACCCACACACTGTATATAGTGATTGTAGGAGCCTGGTAGAACCTACCCACACACTGTATATAGTGATTGTAGGAGCCTGGTAGAACGTACCCACACACTGTATATAGTGATTGTAGGAGCCTGGTTGAACGTACCCACACACTGTATATAGTGATTGGAGGGAGCCTGGTAGAACGTACCCACACACTGTATATAGTGATTGGAGGGAGCCTGGTAGAACGTACCCACACACTGTATATAGTGATTGGAGGGAGCCTGGTAGAACGTACCCACACACTGTATATAGTGATTGGAGGGAGCCTGGTAGAACGTACCCACACACTGTATATAGTGATTGGAGGGAGCCTGGTAGAACGTACCCACACACTGTATATAGTGATTGGAGGAGCCTGGTAGAACCTACCCACACACTGTATATAGTGATTGGAGGAGCCTGGTAGAACCTACCCACACACTGTATATAGTGATTGGAGGAGCCTGGTAGAACCCACACACTGTATATAGTGATTGGAGGGAGCCTGGTAGAATGTACCCACACACTGTATATAGTGATTGGAGGGAGCCTGGTAGAATGTACCCACACACTGTATATAGTGATTGGAGGAGCCTGGTAGAACGTACCCACATACAGTGACTGAGGGAGCCTGGTACCCACACACTGTATATAGTGATTGGAGGGAGCCTGGTAGAACGTACCCACACACTGTATATAGTGATTGGAGGAGCCTGGTAGAACCTACCCACACACTGTATATAGTGATTGGAGGAGCCTGGTAGAACCTACCCACACACTGTATATAGTGACTGGAGGGAGCCTGGTACCCACACACTGTATATAGTGATTGGAGGGAGCCTGGTAGAATGTACCCACACACTGTATATAGTGATTGGAGGGAGCCTGGTAGAATGTACCCACACACTGTATATAGTGATTGGAGGAGCCTGGTAGAACGTACCCACACACTGTATATAGTGATTGGAGGAGCCTGGTAGAACGTACCCACACACTGTATATAGTGATTGGAGGAGCCTGGTAGAACATACTCACACACTGTATATAGTGATTGGAGGAGCCTGGTAGAACGTACCCACACACTGTATATAGTGATTGGAGGAGCCTGGTAGAACGTACCCACACACTGTGTGTATAGTGATTGGAGGGAGCCTGGTAGAACGTACCCACACACTGTATGTAATGATTGGAGAGAGCCTGTAGATATTTGGTTTGCATGTACCCATTCGGGTTTGTCCATGTGCTGTGCGATGTAGTGATTGAAATGTGAATCTTTTCTAGGTGTGGACACCCGTGCTCTCACAAAGAAGATCCGAGAGAAGGGCACCATGCTTGGGAAGCTCATTCCGGAGGGTATGGAAGAAAGTCAGATCCCGTATGTGGATCCTGGGAAGCAGAATCTGGTGCAGGAAGTGTCCGTGAAGGTGCGTGAATGTCGCATGAACAGGTTGTCAGCTCAGGCAGTGGTGGACAAACCATGTGTTATGCACAGATGGCCTGCCTGGCTTGTGGTGGCACGCTTGGCATGGTGGTTGTCATAAAGAAGAAATAATGGGTGGCTTATGTGATTTAGATTTTTTTTTTTTGCTCAGCGCTTATTGATCTGTGCAGGGAATAGATTTAATGTCCTTAACCCACAGGAGCTGCTTGTATTATTCTAGATATAGAACCTTTTAATACGTTTCTCACATGTTCGCTTGTTAATGTACTATGCCTGATGGACACTTTAATCCTATATTGTCATATTTGTGTATTTACAGGACCCCCGTGTGTTCAATGCTGGAGCTTCAGTAAAGATTGCTGTGTTGGACTGTGGTCTGAAGTACAACCAGATTCGCTGCTTGTGTCAGAGGGGGGCTGAGGTGACAGTGCTTCCCTGGGACCATGCTCTGGACCCTGCAGGTCTCTCTAAATATTCCCCCATATCCGTTGTTTTTACTGCATTCTATCCACAGAGCACAGAGAATCGATGTGAGGAACTCTCTAAACTTCCAATGGAAGCCAACGCATGTCCTGTGTACACGTTAAATCACAAAAGGCTGGTCTTTGACGAGCTTACTCTTGCTTGTTGTGTCCCATTAGAGGCACACGCTAAGCACCAAAACTACTACATCTGAGTGTTGTTGACTTGGTGCAAAAACAATGTCCTGCAGCCTGACAAATGTAAACGTTGCCGTTTAAGAGAAAAGCCAATTCCTAAAGACCTTCTGGAAACAAGCCCATGGTGATGTCGCTAGATATTGAAAGTTCTGCTCTTTGCAGCACATGTACAATAAGTGCCCAATGATTCTAAGAGAAGCATTGCACTGGCCTCATATCAGAATGTTGATCTCACAGTGGGTGGTGCGTCTGCCATGAGACAGATGGCATTGGATCAAAAGGGAGTCTTAATTTCCCGATGGGGTTCTGACTCTAAATGTTAAACACACCAAGCACCAGTTCCCTGGCACCCTGTAAAAGTAGTCAGGCCATCTAAGAATGGTTTGACAAGGTACCTGGGGTTCACAGGGTGCAGTTCTCCTCCTCCTTCTCCTCTGCAGCCCAGAATTCTCCTGCATTGAGCTAAGTCTGGCGTTACAGGGAGGCTAGCAATGGCTGAGAGCACCTACCTGACTCCAGCACTATACAGCTAACAGAAGCTTCTCTCAGGAGGTTGACAGCAGGTACGTTTTCAAACACTTACAGCTGGAAGGTTCTAAGACACTCCTGGCACCATAACCACTGGAGCTGGCTTTTGGAGTGTTCTTTTGATAGTAAAAACTTTTACTTCTATAAATATATAATTTTCCTTTAACTTATTGGCTGATGAGAAAAGTCTTAATTTTGATCTATTTCTGGTTTTATTTAAAACTTTTGTTCATATTTTCTCATCTGCCGTCTGTAACCTCTTACTTTGTTTTGTCAGGATTCGATGGGCTGTTTATCAGTAACGGACCTGGGGACCCTGTATTCTGCCAACAGTCCATACACAACATTAAACAATTCCTTGCCGGAGACAGTCCTAAACCCCTGTTTGGAATCTGTTTGGGGCATCAGATCCTCTCGCTGGTTATTGGGGCGAAGACTTTCAAGATGAAGTAAGTCACAAATCTTTATCAGAAAAAATGCTTTCATTTATCTAAACCTATGTTTAGACACAATTCATGCAAGAGTCACAGGTTTGAGGTGAGAATAAAGTGAGTTTGAAATTTAAGGCCCATATAGTCTGTAACGGCTACCCAGCTCGGAAGGGGTACCTGCCGTTGGAGACGTCCTTTTCTAGGCAAGCTGCTGTGAAGTAATGGAGTTCTTATTCCCATCCATGATATCCAAGAGTACAATCAGGCATCGCTGTAAAATGAGGCAGAGTAACGGTACCATAAATCCCCTCCAAGAACGAGACGAGGCTACGATTTGAAGGGTCAAGTAGAACTGATGTTTATTGACAGGGGTCTCCTTTTATGCAATGGTGCCCTGGAAAAGGCTACACCCACATAATTAATACAGCAACCAATTATACACATGGTACAACCCCCACGTCTCCTCCCCTCAGATAAACCTGTAACATAATTAAAACAGACACAATTTTAACCACATTCTGGATGTACCCCCAAAACAGAGGGTACACCTTTAAATCGCTTGATAGCTCTAATTTAGGGGAACAACATATCAAAATTCCAGCTCATTTGGTTGAGGGGTTCGGGAGTTATGGGTCTTTGAAGTTTTGACCGACCGCACAGATTCTCTAGCCGAAAAGAGTTCCATAAGTTTTGGCCTTGCGGTCGGTCTCCGTTCATGCATTAAAACCCACGAACCCCTTGCCATCCACAGTCATCCTGGTGTTCGCTGGAATCCCTATGAGAGCTTAAACAAAACTACAGAACAGCCGGTTGTACGGTAGTTCCAG